TCACCCGGGGGGCAGAAAATTACTAAGATAATAATTATACAGGTCAATAAACAAATAACCTCATAACCTGAAACTCAAGCTANGGGCATTCGATCTAGATTTCTAGTTATGGAGGCCAGGAGTACGAGCTTGGTTTATTTCGCCCTATTCTGGTGGTGGAAAATTGGAAGAAAATTACCTGCCCTGTCTAATTTTTCCGGATTTTTTTTATTTTTATTTATTGTTTACATAATAAGAAATAATGTGGGTCGTTTTTAGCGGAGCCTTTGATTTAGTTTTTTAGTTACGAAAGCCAGAAATTGGAAGGAGTATAGGACTTATATATAGTATTATTTTTAGCAAGGCCTTCGATCTGGATTTCTAGTTATGAAGGCCAGAAGTGCGAACTTAGTTGATTTTGCTCTATTCAGGTAGTGAAAAATCGAAAGAAAATCACCCGCCCTGTAGATTTTTTCCAGATATTTTAGTTTTTATTTATTGTTGATATAAGAATAAACAATTTGTATAATTTTTAGCGTAGCCTTTGATCTGGATTTAGATTTATAAAGGCCAGAAGTCCGAACTTGGTTGATTTTGACATGTGCGTATATTGGAAAATCGATCGAAAATTACCCGTTTTTTTGATTTTTTTCTGGATATTTTCATATTTGTTTATCGTGTACTTAATAATAAACAATTTGTATCATTTTTAATGGGGCCTTCCATCTGGATTTCTGGTTATGAAGGCCAGAAGTGCAAACTTGGTTGATTTCGCCCTATTTGGGTGGTGGATAATCGAAAGAAAATCACCCACCCTGTCGATTTTTTCCAGATATTTTAAGTTTAATTTATTGTTGCTATAATAATAAACATTTAGTGCCATTTTTAGCAGGGCCTTCCATCTGGATTTCTTATTATGGAGGTTAGGAGTGCGAACTTGGTTGATTTCGCCCTATTCAGGTGGTGGAAAATTTAAAGAAAATCACCTTCCCTGTCGATTTTTTCCGGATATTTTCATTTTTATTCATTTTTTATGTTGTACTTAACCATTTGTATCATTTTTAGCGAGGCCTTCACAAAGAGAGCTCTGATGCTATGGTAGTATGCGTATTCATATACTACCAGAGTACAGTGCGTCACATACTACAGTAGCGCCCGTGGAATGCAGCGGTAGTATCGAGAGTCGGCTACGGCAGTATAAAGACCTATATACAACTGTTGATCGTGAAACGCACTACTAAAGCTTCTGCTTTATACTACAGTAACACCCTTGAGGCTCTGCAGAAGTATCGAATCTCACGTACTAAGTTAGCTCGGGACTCATACCAGATTGATATGACACACGAGCAAACGTAGAATACGTTGTCTGTACTACGCCAGTATACCGTTATTAGTAGGTAGAAAGTTACTGTTTGACTTTAGGATCATTAAAACAGTGCTTATGATGATGAGGTCTATTCAATAAAACATATTAAAATAATTTTTTGTTAGCAAAATTAACTTATACTAACAGTAATAGACTCATATCATTCCATTTTTTTCTTGAGTAGACTATTCAACACAAATCTTATCTTGGATGAAGATTTTTAGTTAGTTTGTTACAATAACACAGCACGTTGACTTTAAAAACTGTTACATATATTTATACCGATACGTATCACCACTATTCCATCGAAATGTTTATGTTAATGTATCTTTCAAAATTTTTCGGATTTAAAAGTATGCAAACAAAAAATCTTAGAACTTTAATTAGCGTAGTTATGATTTTTATACGGAGTGTATAGTAGTTTTTTATGGTAACAGAAATAATACTAGACAACAAATGCTTTTTTAATCAGGTTTAACATATTTTTCTAAAAAAGTAAAAATGTACGGTTTTACAATGCTTTTTCTTTTGGAGAATCTTAGCATACCGGAAGTCTGAATTTTTTCTTACACTTACTATTGATCATAACAAAATATTTAAGCTTACAAATTCAACATTTCAACGTCTGTTAGCAAAAAATCTGAAATAAAAATACAAATGAAGATCTTGAAAAAGCAGCACTAATGCAACTACGTGTTGCATTTGCAATTCGGTCTTAGAAGTTATGCTGCCAAACAACGGTATAGTGGCGTAGTACAGACGACGTATACTCCGTTTGCTCGAGAGTCATACCAATTTGGTATGAGTCCCGAGCTAACTTAGTACGTGAGATTCGATACTTCTGCAGCGTTTCAAGGGTGTTACTGTAGTATAAATCAGAAGCTTTAGTAGTGCGTTTCACGATCTACAGTTGTATAAAGGTCTTTATACTACCGTAGCAGACTCTCGATACTACCGTTGCATTCCACGGGCACTACTGTAGTATGTGACGCACTGTACTCTAGAAGTATATAGATCCGCATACTACTGTAGCATTAGTGCTCTCAATAAAAATGAAAATATCCAGAAAAAATCGACAGAGTGAATGATTTTCGATCAATTTTTCATTATACGCATAGGGCAAAATCACCCAAATTTGGACTTCCGGCGTTCATAACTAGAAATCCAGACGGAAGGCCTTGCTAAAAATAGTACAAATTGTTTATTATTATATAAACAATGAATAAAAATACTTTTAGAGGGGCCTTCGATCTGAATTTCGATTTATAAAGGCCAAAAGTCCAAACTTGGTTAATTTCGCCCTATTCAGGTGGTGGAAAATCGAAAGAAAGTCATCCGCCCTGTCGATTTTTTTCGGATACTTTAATTTTTATTTATTGTTAATATAATATAATAATTATATAATATATAATAGTTAATATAATATAATAATTAATAATTTGTATTATTTTTAGCGAGGCCTTCGATCTGGATTTCTAGTTATGAAGGCCAGAAGTGCGTACTTAGTTGATAATAAATAAAAGATAGAAACATTCATTGTTTAAATAATTTATTTAACTCATATTCCTCATGTATATACACACACAGACATACACACACGAACAAAAANGTGAAAAATCGAAAGAAAATCACCCGCCCTGTGGATTTTTCTGGATATTTTCATTTTTATTTATTGTTTACATAATAAGAAACAATGTGGGTCGTGTTTAGCGGGGCCTTCGATTTGGTTTTTTAGTTACGAAAGCCAGAAGCGCGAACTTGGTTGATTTCGCCCTATTTGGGTGGTGGAAAATCAATCGAAAATTACTTTCCCGGTCAATTTTTGTCGGACATTTTCATTTTTATTTATGGTTGCCATAATAATAAACAGTTAGTGTCCTTTTCAGGGCATTCGATCTAGATTTCTAGTTATGGAGGCCAGGAGTACGAGCTTGGTTTATTTCGCCCTATTCTGGTGGTGGAAAATTGGAAGAAAATTACCTGCCCTGTCTAATTTTTCCGGATTTTTTTTATTTTTATTTATTGTTTACATAATAAGAAATAATGTGGGTCGTTTTTAGCGGAGCCTTTGATTTAGTTTTTTAGTTACGAAAGCCAGAAATTGGAAGGAGTATAGGACTTATATATATCACTGGTAATCTTTAAAGCTACTCTTAGTTGTTCTGTAACATTTTTGCTTCGTTTAAAAGTGATTAATTACGAGGCCCAGAATATTTAGGAGTAAAAGGAAGCAAAAAGTTGTACGAGTAAGTTTTTTTAAACACATACCAATGGCTCTGTGAAAGAATGAATTGTTTCATGTTATATTTTAGAAACATTATTTTAACTTTTTTTCAATAAAAGCACTGTCTCCACTATATGAGTTTTTCCTTTAAACTTCTAAATTTTACATGTATTAAAGTATCAATTTTATCGATTTAAAATAAACAAAATAGTACCGTCATTTCTACAAAGCTTTAAAACGATAAATCTTTTTATCTCAAGCAAAAATTCAATTAGTGAATAATAAATAGTAAGTGATAAAAATCGATGATAACAAATAATGATATTCAGATTTAAGACTGAAAATAGAATTATTATAACGGTCAGTATTAGTTATTATTATTATTTTTTGTTGTTGTTGTCACGAGTTACATATTGAGAACTGCAAAAAAAAACTGATAGTAACTACTACAAATTATAATTAACTAAAAATTGTAGTTTATAATTTGTATCAACTATTATTTACTATTATTTTATCTTTGAATGACTAATAAAAGTTTCAACTCATTATTACTAATTGTTAAAAAATTTTTTGTTGTTGTTATTTAACAACAGGATAAAACTAAATTTTTTGATTCAATTTTCACAGAAAAATTAAAAAAAAGAGTATAACTGATAACTAAATATAAGTAAGTATAACTTGAAAGCTAAATATTATTATAGTCTGGACGTAGCGTAATTTGTTATTAGAAGTTTTTAGTTTTTATTTTTTATCACAATTAATTACGTGGACGAGATGATTTTCGGACCCAGCAATTTTGTAATTACATATTTTTTATTTCATTATGGTAATAGATAGTTGTCATTAGAATAGAGCAAACTGAGTTTCTGTTAGTAGAGCATTGCAAGTTGTATTTTTTCTTAAATTCAACTAACTAGTTCTAGCAATTTTTTCCAGTTAATTCCAGCTTTTTAAGAAAAACTTTGATTCAGTTCTTATAATTCGTCTATACTAAACTTGAAAACAAACTACCTGTTTTATTGATAAGAACATAAAAAAATTAATTATAAAAAGCTTTTAACTACAGTAATTAACTTGACATTTTCTTTATTTTATAAGATCTTTTTGAAAATCTGTGTAAAAACAGAATGCTTATTGAAGATACGACTGATAATAGAAATAACACAAAATTATTGTTTGTATGGCTTTGTACATAAATTTTTCAAAGAATATTACTGTTTTATAGATCACTGACATTCAAAATTCAATTAATGAGAAAATCAACAACAAAGAAGAAAAAAAATTTTTTTATTCTGCTGGTAAATAATCTTTTAATAGTTTACTAAAACAGAATTATTTTAATGATATGAATTGAAAAAAAAAAACAAAACAATTTTATGATACAAAAAAAAAAAAAAAAAAAATTAAAAAGATATACTCAACAATCATAACCTTATAAAAAGCTCCAATACCCTCGCTTTGACTAATTTTTTTAAATGCATCCATCATGCCAAAGTATTTTATGGTTTTGGAAAGATGCACTTCTTCAGCATACTGCAGACAGAGTCTAGTTTTGATAACCCAGATCGGATTAGTTATCAATAAAGTTAAAATTCCAGCATTTGCAGCAGCTAACATATGTGACCAAGGTCCTAAAGATTCTTTGGATTTTTGTTCTTGTAGCCAAGCTTTTACATAGTTATATCTAGAAAAAAACGTTTTGGAATTAGTTTTGTTTGTGAAAAAAAATTAATGTATATCATAATAACAATGTTAACTCACATAAGAAAGTACAGTCCCCACGAAGTTCCTGATCCCAAAATATTGGGCGTCAGCCCTTTGTACAACCCAGAATAACCTTCTGATATGATAATTTTCTTGAAAGTATTAGACAATCCATTGTGGTGTAAATTAAGTTTGCTGCGTCCATCATCCACTAGAGTGAATATAATATCTCTATAGTAATGTGTTCAAAGATCGTATTTAGTATTTATTAGGTAGTTATTAATGTGGCTTTTTTTATTGGGATGCAGAAAGGTATTAGACACAATACTGTTAGTAACTATTACGATATATTTTATGAAAAATAAAGCTCAATGAAAAAGTTTGTGCAGGGAATATTGAAATAAATCAAACCCTTTTTTCAAGAGTAACAAACTAAGCAAGCATAATGTATTACTTGTTTTAATTTAAGAGTTTACTTTAAGGTTTTGTTTAATATTCCTTAGCTGAGGTAGATACGATCTATGTAAGTTTTAAACTAATTTACAACTTGCTAAAGTAGAAACAATTTTGACTTGGTAAAAATAAAAATTAGTCTACTTTCTCACTGTAAAAAGACAACTATTATAATCTTTATGTAACTGCAAAAAATTTAACAAGTAATGTGACAAGCATCTTGACAAAAAAAGCATTAATTGTTTGTTTTGATCATTTTTTATAGCTTTACATTGATGCAACACCCTGATAAAAAACTTGGCTAGCTTAATAAAAAATTAATTATCTTAGATATCATGTACTAAAAAAAAAAAAAAAAAAAAAAAAAAAAAAAAAAAAAAAAAAAAAAAAAAAAAA